TGAGAAGTCGAGAAAGCGAGTTATAAATACAAATGTAAAAATAGCTTCGCGTCCACCCCCCTCCAGCTTTTTCAAACGATGGCGCGTCACAGAGCAAATGTGTCAGGGCGCTTTTATTTGTACGCGCCGGAAGAGCGATGATAAAATATCAAAAAACGCGTGGGCCTTGAGATTATCTTCCTAGCAATAACACGCGGTGGCCTTGTGCGATAAAATCACGCCCCACCCACAAAGCCACAAAATAATAAACATAGTGGGATGCAAAATGACTGAATCACCCTATCTCTGTGTGTGCGCGACAAATCATCTACCAATACTGCATACGGCGCTGAAACTTCCAAGTCTGGTGTTCAAGCATGGAGAACGCAATTCTGTTAGATTAGAATATCAAAATACAGGGAATCAGTATTTTGATAAGGTGTTTGCTATCAACCCTGGTAGTGATACTGGGCCTTTGCTTGGGTGCAAAAGAGATAAATGTACACCAGAAAATTTAAATAAAAAATTATCAACGATTTCTAAGCCAGTAAGTGCTGTTGAATTACGCTCAAAACTACAGGTCAAAACTACAGGTTGACAGGCGCCGTAATACATGTGTTTCTGACCACCTTACTGACACATCGGGAGGGATGAAACAGTGTGGGGTCATTTTGGGATGGAAGAGCCACTAAATGCCAAGGATTATTATCATTTATATAAAAAATAATTAATGTTTAGGACAAAAGTGGGCGACGACCCCTCGCGGGTCCAGTGACGTCTGTTGCAGCCTCGCGCGGGCTGCCCATTCCCACAGACGTCTAGTGTTTCGCTGTGACTCGTCGCCCACGGATCTTGCACAGGTGCTCCGACACGCAGCCCCGGGCGCACTTACCCCAGGCACTGCAGCCAGCTCGCAACTTTTCCGTCATTGTTTCCTGTGGAAAGAGAAAGAGCACGCCGTCGCTGTCATTCAAAACACGACTGCGGGCTCGATTGCACAGGCTTACAGCAGAAGCCCGTGGGCGGCGCTCATTCGTGTCCGTTCGCTTGTGAAAGAAACTCGAAAGAGTACGGGACTGCCGTCAACGTTTTCTCCCTCCGAACACGTTCCGCCTCCCTTACTGCTGTCACCCCCGGTAACTATCCGGCTAGAAGTCTCAGGCTTGTTGAGGTGACAAAAATACACTCATTCAATTTCGCAATTAATCACATTGTCCGTTAGGGAACCGGTTCCCCCCCCCCGCTGCGATACACAGCTGACTGCGAACTTGAAGTACATCACAGATGAGCGGTCACGTCAGAGGCGAGACTGGGACCCGAACCCTTTTGGTTTTGGTCGAAAATGTCCTGCCGGTGACTGAGTAGCACCACCACTCGTTAGACCTAAGCAAAACAAAACAAAAAAAAACACTGCCGGGGTTTCAAAAAGTTACTGATAACTCGAAGGACCCTGGATGAAGCAAATGGAATTTACAGAGGCACGAGTAAAGGTTTATTCCATGCTAAAAACACAGAGAATAAAAGAAACAGCGTTTCGGCTGTGTAGCCTTCTTCGGGGGGTGTGTGTGTGTAATTTATTCACACTTATACTGAGATCCTTTCACGGATGTGAAAAGAGAAAGATTCTTATAAGTCATGTGCATTCTGTTGCAAAGAGAAATAGGACTAACACTTCTAACACCAGATGTCTCCGCGCGCCCGGCTCGTGCGGGCGTTGAGCGCGCTGCTCTTTTCAGCGCTCTTCCTCGCGCACCAGAGCACAACTGGGGCTTTTGAAATGTGCTGGGAGAGCGTTTAAAATGAACCAAATAGCACATCTAGAGAAAGCGCAGCATGCAACCCGTGGCGAAGCGACCCGCGGTTTACTCTCATGATTCAGGTCCGTTAAACCCACTTGATTGGTTATAAAGTCCTCCGCTTTGCTTTTCCGCTTTTCTCGAAATTGCTTAACTGAATCAAAGACTGGGTTAATTAGCCAGGGTTAATTAGAACCTGCGAAGCTATCAAAAGACAGAGGTTCACCAGCACGGGGCTGGCCATCATTCGTTCAGGTGAAGTGCAGAACACCACTCCCTTTAACACCTATAATGTTTCAGAGCGTTTGGACGGAAGGGGGCCGTTTTCGAACCTTAATTGGACTTCATATGTATTCTCACACCTGTTAGGGGCTGAAAACAATCTGGTAACGTTCATCACATGGGCCGGTTGTATCTTCTACTAGATCTTGTTTGTTGTAAATAGCGCGTGCGTGCTGTTGTCTGCCACGTCAGATTCGCGTCACGCGCTGTGGAAAGACGAGCTCCCGATGTTGCGAGACAAACGGGTGGGTAAAGGTGTTCGTCGATTTCTGCCCAGCGGGGATCGTCGGAAACCGTACCTTCCAGGAACACTTCGTCGGCCTGCGGGCCAGGGGTCAGGGTGGTCTCCGGCGCTTGCCACGCGCGGCTGCTGCGCAGCCAGGCCCGGCGCTTGTCGCTGGGAGACGGGGTCTCCATCGCCGGCCCGCCCTGCACGCCTCTACTGCCCTGGGATGGCGGGAGAGAGAGGGGTAAAGGTCAAAATGGCTTATTTGTCACTCGATGGCACTAAAACTCGCTCCTCGCGGGAAACCTGACGCACCTGACCGTCTTCTAGTTGGGGTTTCTGGGGCCTGGGGCGGTGTGGTGGCTCTGTGGCTCAGGATCTGCGCCTGTGGATGGAAGGTTGCCCGTTCGTATCCTGCGGCCGGCAGAGGAATCCTACTCCCTTGGTCACCCAAGCAAGGCCCTTAACCCCAAGTACTCCAGGGGCGCCGTATAAATGTCTGACCCTGCGCTCTGACCCCCAGCTTCTCTCCCTGTCTGTGTGTCTCATGGAGAGCAAGCTGGGGTATGCGAAAAGACAAATTTCTAATACAAGAAACCGTATATAGCCAATAAAGTGATCTGATCTTTCTAGTTCGGCTTTCAGCTGCTTAATGAAAAACTCAAAGCTTTTTCGCCCCAGAGAACAATAACGCTGCCAAACTGCTGAAAGTATCTATGCATATGTATAACAGTGTCAATCCAAAACGCCTGAAGACGTATTTTATAAACGTTACTTTCTGTGGCTGTCTCTTCTGCAGGAAACAGCAAAGAAAAGGGAAACATGCAAGCTCTTGCGAGTCTGGGCAGCTGAACAATTGACATTCCCTTTAAACCGTGGCGCACCTGAAATCTCGTGTGCCTGTACTGTATATTCTGGTCTCTCCGGCGCTTAGGCCGAGTCCCCGCAGGAAACGGCGGTGATCTAAGTGTTTGATCTAAGTGTTTGGAAGTGTTTTGACTGCGTTTCCTCGCGCGCTTTGAAAGGAATTTAAAGATTCTGCCTGAGCACGTCCAAACAGGGCGCCGGGATCGCCAAGACCCTATTCTCCGGCATCCCAGCCCTTGGGTGTCTTGAGAATTTACAGAAAGAACCAAAAAAATCAGAAAAACAGAGCTATATTTGGTCATAGCGGTCGTGAAACAAACAGGAAAACAAATTGTCCTGACCTTGAAAAGAACTTCTGGTAACCGGGCTTAGAGAGATGCACGTACGAGCACATTCTAACGCGATAGCGCCTGTCAGAGAGCCTGCTGTCCTGCCGCGCTGTCTGAAGAGCTCACTATCCTGGAAGAAACGAGGACCGGCAACAGAGCTCTGTATCGGCAGTGCGGTCTCTCGACCTGACAACCTGCAGGCCAGTTCAGGAATAATTATTTACAGAGCTCTGCTTGTCTGTAGCGCTTTACCCCGCTTGCACACTTTACAGTGAATGGCTACATTCTGTCCCCTATGGGTAACAAGTACCGGTTTTTACTGTTTAACCTTCCGCTAAAAACCTGCAATTTTGCGTGGATTTTACCATATGAAAACAACAGATCCGTCAATGCCTTGAACTGGTAAACTGAGTTTTACCAAGGGCACAGCAGCAATGTTAAGACGCCCGTTATTTTTCAGCGCTTTTCTTTCTATACAATATTGCTAACCGTTCTTAAATTCCGTAAGGCGCTGGTGAACTGTTGCTAAAAAAAAATACCGCACTGTGTTGAAAGTAAATTAAAAGCAATGAGAAGAAACCGAAGCAGTTTTCGTAACTGAAAACGAAATAAGACGGAAACCCTGTTTTACTTTTTGTGATATAACAAGTGTCCACCAGAGTGTATCTTAGTTCCCAACCCTTGATAACGAAATTACGCCGCAGATGGAAGACAGGGCAACTCGTGAATACATTTATCCTTCTTTTTTTCTTTTGCGGAACGAATGTCTACTAGTAAACCGGCACAATCTGTGCCGTCTGCTTCACCTGCGAGCTCAAACCGTACGAGACGCGAAAACGGTTCCGAGAACACCAGGCGCCCCCTGTCAGTCCTCGCCGCTCCGGCAGCTACTGTACCTGTCGCACAGCGCGTAGCTCGCAGTGAAGGCTCCTTGCGCGCCATCCCGGGCAGCCCGGCGGCTCTCGGCACCTTCACCTCCGCTGGACCCTGTCGCCGGCCGCTGTCATCTCTCTGTCTCCTCGGTGTCTGGCCCTCCCGCACCGCGGCCGCCTCCTCGCGCAGCCCGCTCCCGCCGCTGTGTTTCGTCAAACGCGTCCAGGAGAGTGAGAGAGAGAGAGAGAAAAAAAGGAAGTTGTCTGTGCGATTGAAGGTGCAGCCCTAAAGTTAACGTTTCATTTCGCCCACATCCTGTCGTTTTCGATACTCCAAGCCGAGACGAGGTTATTTACTGAAAGAGAGCATCCAGCGCCCTCAGTGCAAGGCTCGGCCGACTTTTTTTTTTAAAAAGCCTCGACTCCGTATTAAAATGATAGTCGTGTTTCCAATAAAGCTCAAATAACGCTGTGTAAATGAAAGAAAGAAACCTGCCTGCCCTCCGTATCGGCAGGGAGAGGGGGTGTTACAACGGACTGCGAGACACTGCCAAATGCACCCCCATTCTAGAAGTAAACTCGGGGGTAATAACTGGAGTAGTTCTCTGACGTTTAGGTTGTACGAGTAAAAGTTTCCTAAACAGTAAATCTAGGTTCTCCTGAAAACAGGTCGGGGTGCAGTGCTGTCAGTTTCCAGGAGTCTCTACCACCGGCTCTCGGTTTTAGGGACAGATTCCTGCTGAGCCGTGGAGAGTCCCTGCAGCCGCCTGAAGGCCGCAGGTAAACAAATCCCAGGCTCTTTCGGCCAGAAAGCGAGGGGCGATCACCATGGCAACCAGGTAATCTCTGTAAAACCCTGCTGTAAAACCCCCTCGCGCGCGGGCGGGGTTATACATCTATTGAGCATCACTTAGTCGGGAAAACAGGGATGACGAATGATAACAGGATCTCAAACAGACGAGATAAGACATCTGTCGCACAGACACGCAAGTTTAAAAACTCGGAGACGGAGGCGCGTTTGACTCCGGTGGGGCACCTGTGGCCCACTTCGTCACTGTGCGGAGCTCGTAGCGCCTTTGCAACGCAAAATGGTGGGCATCAGGTATCGGTTATAGTGCAAAATAATTAGTGGAGTCAACATGTTTCTCCTGATCAAGGCTTGTTTATTGAAGTGTTGACAATTGTAAAAAAAAAAATAGGAGTATAGTGCGTGCGCCTGGCTGACTGTACTGGGAATTGGCGCAAAATG